CATTGAAGATATCGATAATTTTCCTCTCATTTGTGATACCATTTCAGACAATCAAAATGCAAGACATGAAAGAAATACTTGTTTTAAACTATTTAATAAAGTAACTATTCTTTAAGTAACATATTAATGTATAAAAGAAAATAATCACTCACCTTAGTCTTAAATGACAGCCCTAATTGCTTAACTTCTCACTTCACTTATTGATTATTATCTATTAATTAAGTATGCATATAATTATAAGAAATTTTATTCTAAAAGAAAATTTTAATATATCTAATGACATATAATAAAAATAGCACAAATAAAAAATTATACCATTCATTACCTTAAAATGATTTGGTTTGCTTCCTTAGACAAGTCTCCTCATTCTTCTTACAACTAATTGACTCACCTTTAATCTTCCACTTTTATATCTGAGTAAATTAAACCTACTATTAACATTTAGCATGTAAACAAATATTTCACATCCAAGTAATTAATATAATCCAAACTTACCTTACCAATAATTTTCAACTCGATAGTCCTTAAAAAATTATCCTCTAATAATGCATGGTTAAATTCATAAATTTTAATTATGAATATTAAAATCTATTAATTACATAAACTTATATATGTAAAACTTAAAAGCAACTTCTGCTTACCTAAAGCTTCAATCCCATAGACACAACTCAGTTCCGGGTCTTATAAACATAACACGCACGAGATCCTGCCCTTCTTTCTCCTTTCCCTCCGTCCCAACTCATCCCCACAGACCAAGCGTAGGACCTTCCTCTGCACAAGCCGGACGCAAAGATCGTCAGCTTCAACGCAAATAATACCTGTGGTCTCCTCTTCCTTCTCTTCTTCAGCTTCTTCTCCTTCGTACTGCACCAGCGAAAGAAGTCGTAGCTTCTTCCTCCTCGATCGTGGCTCGCTCCAGGTAAGCCTTTGATGTCGTTGCCTCACTCTTCTTCCTCCGCCTTCGGTCTCGACACAATACCGCAGATTCTTCTCCTTCGCACAACTCGATACTGCATAGTGGCCGCACATTTCTCCTGCAACTTCTTCATCCTACCTCAACTAGGGCACAACAGTTTCTCTTCTCGATCTCTCCTGTTGTTTGTTGCTCATTCTCTATGTTGGTTTGAATAAAGAGTAATACAACTCTTAAGTCGTAACCGAAGGGGCGCTTATCCTGCGTGTCTATTCAATTAATTGCTATTATTATTATTATTATTATTATTATAATTATTATTACACAAATCATGAGGGATTTGTTTGAGATATCTTAGAAAACCTTTGATTTGGTTTATTTCATTCATATTTTATGTTTTTTTTTTATTAAGAATTATTTCCTTTTCTAATTTAAAATAAATATATTTGGTGACTGTAAACGAGGGATGATTTTTCTCTCTATACATACCCTATTTGTGAAAAATAGAAGAAACAATTTTCCTCCCCGAGTAATTTCTACATGGCATCAGAGCCAAGCTCCCGACCTGCCTGAATTGCTTCCTGCCATCCTTTTAATGCTTGGCCTCCTCCCATAATCGGATGAAGTGCTCATTGCCGGGGTCAGAAAACACTCCAGCACTGAACTTTCTTTCAGAACTGTCGGCCTCCCTCCCTGCTTGTGTCGATGTCTCCTTCTAGACGTAGATGTTGTGGCCAAAAACAGAGGCACTATTTTTTCCCTTTCAGCCGCAAGTTGAAGTTAGAAGTTGTCTGAGAGTTTTTCTTGCCAACAGAGATCAACCGTTCTCTCTAGTGTAAATCATATTCAATCTCTAGTGTAAATGGATTTCTCTCTCTAGTAGAAATCAACAAACCTCTATAAATCCACCTGACTTGCTCCTAAACAAACCTCTAAAGTTCGCCTAGATTGTTCTTATTGGAAGAATTCCTCCGATAGTTGTTGGATCACCGCCCAACTAAACCAGAACTTCCTCTGCTAGAACCAGACTTTCTTTCCCAAAGCCACAATTCTTCTTTCTGCCAACCAAATCCTTCCTTCAATCATATCCTTCCCAGTCAAAACATCCTACTACCAGATCCTTCCCCGCCGGAACTTACTTCTATTGTCAACTAAGGTCGTGAATCCTTCATGCAGTCAAACCCTTCCTACAGTTAGCCCTTCCCAGCTGGATCTCCTTCCTGCAAAAGCCAACCCACTACCATAGTTGAGAGATTCTCGAACCTCGGATGGTTTAAGTAGGGTTTGAGTACCTCTCCTCCTTCTGAAACAGACTCAGAAGATGGAGAAGAAGATGGTGAAGAGGCAGATTCCAGTTTTGAATTGGAGCAACAGTCGCTGCCTCCTCCCCAAGAAGCTGTAAATGCCGAGGGGAAGAAAAATGTAACCCTCCTCTGAAGAAACACCTCTTGGATTCCCTGTCTCTCTATTCCTTTGCCTCCATCGCCAGAATCTTCTTGCAACAGTAATAGCAGCACTGACGACAATGAAGAATCCCTAAGATTTCTCTGACACCATCTTCGACGCATTAAATTTGTCTCCTCTCATACATTAGAGAGTTAGGGTTGTTGCGTCTTCTCCACGTGCGCATGCGAGAAGGCAAAGCTCTGCATTCCAATCTTCTCTCGACACATGGAAGTGCATCTCTTTCGTTCGAATCTTCTTGTCTTTTTTTGTTCACCTCCTCATCAGCATGTTCCCCGTCGCTACTACACCCAGCGGCCTCCGCCAGTCTTCTAATTGACTCGGCAACACACAACGACCTCTTCTTTGTTAGCAATCTTGCGTAAAGGCGGAAGGATCTTGTAATAGGCCCTCGATGCAAACTCTCTTCCTCTGATAGACCCTCCTAAGTCCTCTGCAACAACAGCAACTACTGGAATCTTTCGTACAACCACCTGTCTTCTTGTAGGCTCTTCTCCGAAGTTTTTCGCTACAGCAGACCCTCGATCGGAGCTTTTCCCTGCAATGGGCCCTCCTTTGGAGTTTCTCCCTACAATCATCAATGCTAGAACACTTCCTTCACGCCGCAAAAGTCCATGTAGGTCCTCCTCTGTTCTCCTTGTCCACTAGAGCTCTCCCTATAGCTGGAATCCTGCTTTTGCAGACCATCATCTACCGGAATCCTTTCAGCCAACCTGCAGGCCTTCCTTTAGAGCTCATCTTCTTCATTGCACTGAAATTCTCCCTGCAAGATCTCCTCTGTTCAAACTTTGTCGTCGGAATCTTCATAGCAGCAAATCCTCCTCCATCAGAAACTATTCCCTTCAGGCAGTTTCGTAGCTCTTCCTTACAACAAAAATTCTCTCTACTGCAGACCCCTTTGAAACTCTCCTTAAAGCCAGAAGGGTCCCTATTGCAGGCCCTCCTCCAAAATTCTCCCCGCAACAAATTTTTATGTTGTAGGCCCATCCGTCAAAACTTCTCCCTGTTGCAGGCCCTTTCTTGGTTTTTTCCTGCAGCTGTTCTTTCTTTTCCTTGTAACTTCCCATAGATTATTAAGTTGGCTTTTAGCACTAATAATTGTCATCATATTGTAAAGTAGAAACCCTTGGGGTTGATAATTAAGTGCGGGATGAAGATTATAAAAAAGTATAGGATGAAGACTTTAAGTTCTACTTTGGATATAATTTAGGGCAGCACACCAACCTCGAGATACACAAAAGTAGTGGAGTTGAGAAAAGTGATTGGCAGTGCTGAAATGTACCAAAACTCTTCCTTTCAACAACTTCTCATAATTCAATACCAAGCTTGGTCTCTACAATATCTACGACCCAGCTTGAGGGCAGTGTGGAAATCTGAGAAGAACTAGTTTTTCACATATATATCTTTCTCACGTGGGTCAGCCACCACATCCAAATCTTGGAAGATTTGTTTGGACATCTAAGGAAACCTTTGTTTTGGTTTATTCCTTTCATATTTTACATTTTTCTATTTTTATTTAGAATTATTTCCTTTTATAATTTAGGTGAGATAAGTTTGTAAAAAATGAGGGATTGATTTCTCTCTATATATATATACCCTATTTGTGAATACCAGAAGCAATTTTCCTCCGCAAGTTATTTTTGCAGCTATAAATATGGAACAAGATTACTAATATTTTTTTACTTCATGTGATTACTAAGCGATTAGTATTTTCATAGGTAGAAATCATCAAAAGTAGCCTCAAATTCTATTGTATAAATAAAAGTACAAGATTCTTAATTAAATACACAAAAACTCAAATCATTCTCCGCTCTTTATCTCTCATACCCTTTCTTTGTTCGGCACCACTGCCATCAACTAATGTCCTCTTGTGCCATTGAGAACAAAAATAACCATCAGCACTCACAGCAGCAGCAGCAGCCACTACAAGCAACAGACCACACCTGTGGCACTATAAATTTAGGATTGAGGGTGCAGCTATGGCATGGCACCACTGAAGCAGCTGTTACTGTGCAAGCTGCATCTCCCAAGTGATGTAGCCGCTGCAATAATAGCAAATTAACCAAGGCCTCGGCAAAATAAATCAAAATGAAGAATGACCATGACTGATTTAGTGTTATTTCACTCACAGAATTCAAAAGAACGAAAATTATCACCAAATGTAGGACTTAAAAAAGACCGGGGAAGGATATCAATATTTGAAGCCAGATAAAGATGACTATAATACCATGCTAGTTTTCCGAATTAAATCAATGAGCCATCATTCAAAATCACATCTTTGAACCTAAGTTCTTCTCTTGATCACATCAGAGCAGTTTAATAGTTCAACTATGGAAATGGAAAATGCTTTTGTCGGTTCTCCCATCTAAGTTCTGCATACTTGATTTCAGGTCTAACTGTTTAAGCAACAATCTGCCCATGGCTCATAGCAATTACTTAAGCTGGACATATAGATAAATCCTTCTAATACAGTCAAAAGTAGCGTCCAATCATGATTTGAAGCACAGACAATATACAGAGCTGCTTTTCACAATGTAATTATTTAATGCAAACATATGAAAAAGGATAGAGAACAGCCAAGAACGAAAATCCAGATTACGATAATAAATTAACTAACACAAACCTGAAATAATCTTCCGGGGAAAAGGTATCATACATCTCCGCAAAATTAGTCGCAATTCGAACAGAATCCTTCAAAGCCCTTCCTTCCACCTACACTAATTATAGAATACATGGACAAAAGTTGTATTTTTTGGCATGAAACAACTGTTATCTGTTTATTCAGATAGCAGTCACAGAACATAAAGCTATGCTTGTAAAGCAAATGCTTCGTACCGATTTCATCGCTTGTGGAAGTGTTTTCTTCAAAATTGCTTCAATTACAGCATGCTGCATATTATGCCTGCCCACGTAATTTATCAATATGTTCTCTGGAACTTTCTTCCCAGGACGAAACCCAGGAACCTAAAGACAATTCATAATCAATGTACATGCAATTATACATCTATAATAAAAAAAACTTACAGCTGGAGCAGAACCATGAAGTTTTGTGCATAAAGCACATAGAGAATTAATGAAAGTTAATTTTTTTTTGTCATTCATCATCACCAACACACTTCGATCATCAAAATTCTTTATGGTCAAAATCTTCTGTAAAGCATAAATCTAACATTATAAAACATTATTGAACAATAACAAATTTTTATAGCTGGCTATCATTCAACCTAATTATTGGTGTAACCTTTTGATTCATAGGAAAAACTGAAACAAAAAAGAGGAGCTTCAAATGAGCTGAGAAGACGGCTTAACTCAAATAAATAATCTTCAACTTGTAGTATAGACACAAGCAAGCCTCCAAACATATGAGATGCACTTAACTGCCTTGTAGCATATAATTTCAAAAGCAATACACATGTTGTGTCACCAAAAAACTCATAAGAAAATATCCAATTCTAAGATAATTATGAATCTGCAGAAAAAATGAAAGGTGTTTTCCAATTATGTTTTATTTCTTCAGTTACAGCACATTGATATAATACCAGTCTGTTGCATTTCATTACTAGATGGCCAAACTACCAGAACCTTAGTTCTGAAGAACAAAATATTCGCTTAAAAAATTTGGCTCACACATTTTCTTAACACTGATCTGTTAAACCTCAAACCTTAATATCACGCGACCAGCTGTCATGGCTTTGAGACTACGCAACTTCAAACAGAATGAGCAAACAATTCATTTGCAAACTAGTGATATTAGATGGGCATATCATTCAAGCTTGATGAATGATAATTGTTGTGTATTTCATGAAATGCGGAACAGTGATAGAAAAAGGCTATAAGAAGTGTGTTGTTAATTTGCACATGATTTTTGAAGGGGCAAAAAGTTGTTCTGAGCTATGTTTTGCAGACCCCTTAATTATATATATTGTCAAGTTATAATTATAGGTTGTTGAGTTGGACTTTAGTCAGATGATTATATCAGAGTTGCATGGTTGAAGCCAGAAAGATAATTTTAATGGTTATTTTCCCTGTTTAAAGCCTGTTTATTACTATTTACTTTGAACAACAACAATACTTCATTTGAAGATTTAACTCACGCACCCCCAACCTAGAACATATCAAAAATTTGCCACAAGCTATGATAAGAAATACAGTTTTGCATCTCTTTCCAACCAGATCTGCCAAGAAAGAGCGATAATGTGGGCAATGAAGTTCTTGGAAAAGCTGAATTCACCCCCAAATTACGCCCAGAAGCTGTTACCAAATGTACAATGAGCTTCTATTAACATAAATTTCCGTAGAATAACAGTACATGTGATATTCTAATGAAACCAAAAAGTGAAGGGAACACAATCACCGCTTGATTAAAAACAACAAAATGGAGATCATTTTGTTACTAATGGAGGTTCAAAGCCCTTATTTTCTTTAGACATTTTACAAACTTCTAGACATTCAAACAAGACATTAAGATAAGTACATCTTACTTTTAAATGCAAATGTCTATGCTTTCACAGTATTTTTGCTAATGTCAACTATGAACGATCATAATTAATCTTTCTCGAAAATCATAATTGATCTTTGCAGGCCAAGAAATTTGTTCAATTTGCAAATAAGCGGGTTGGCATCATTTTTTATGCATCAAGCACATACGATCCCCACTTCCTTTGACTCAATCCAGAGTCGCTCTGAAACCAAGTTTCCACTAGTATTGGAGAATGAGGTCATCGCTGCAGTGCTGAGTTTTGCAACTCCACAGCCAAAGCTCTCAGTTTATCATCGCATCTTTGAACATGCTCTAACACTACAACAAGCACCTAAGCACATTACTCTTTATATTTGGGAGCATTTACTTCACATTTGTAACATCAAAGAACTTATATCAAGCGCCTAGGTGCTTTAATCTCTGTGTTGAGCTAAATATGGCATAAGGTGACTGGCACCATCTTCTCTATCAACTACATCTAGCCATAGCTAAGTGTAGCACCGCAACACTCACAATAGTGCCACCACCAGTTTCAGAAATTCTTAATGATATCATATTTTCCAAAAAGGACAGGTGCATGGGCATAGCTGAGCTTGCCCACTTTAATGGCAGGGATAAGCTACCAGTTTTGGGCCTCCTCCAAAGGGAAGTACACCATAAGCCAAAGAGGTTTCTGCTATGAAACTTACTTAGCTCGGCTTGGCTTGGCTGAAGATACTTGAGCTAAAGAGGCTTGAGGGGGCCATGGTTGGTTTTTGAGGGTTGAAGTTTGGAACTTTTTTGAGCTTCCTGAGCTGAGGTGAAGGAGATGAAGAAAAGGAGAAGGAAGATATAAATTTCGGTTCTCACTCTTCTTAGAAGCCATCACGTGAAAGAGGAAGCTTCGCGTGCCTTTCTCCATCAACTCAAAACATCTCACTATGAAGAGCAGCATGTCAGAAACCGACCTTAACCCCACATACATGAGTGTCTCCCTTTTCTCCATCTTTCTTTCCTTCCTAGAGCCCTTGAGCTTGCTGAAGAAACTTAGGCTCTGTTTGGCGCGGCTTCCTCTGCGCGGTGCGGCGGGAGGCCGTGATTTGGTTTTGTTTGGCACGGCGTTTCGCTAGCGACCGCGAGTGAGATCCCGCGGCCCTCGTTACCGCTCCACTTTTTACTCTCGTACCCCTAATTTCTCCTTCGTTTGTTCTCCCCCCGCACCCCGCAGAGTGTGACCTTTTGCTGACCAAACTGTAGTTCCGAAGATCTTCTCCTTCCAGTATAATTATTCTCAACCAATATTTTCCTTTAGAAATCTCTCGTTTATTGTGGATTTGCCCGGTGAAGTTTTTCTTGTGTTTATTTGATTTTGGTGGTCGATTTGTGTTGGTCGGTTTGGTGGTTGTTTCTTATCCTTTATCTCTGTTTGAGAATGTTCATGCAAAGCAAAATACAAATGATATGCTTAGCCCTTGGATCCATAAGATATCTCTAGCTCATCGTTTTTTTTTTAGGATGCTGATGCAAACAGCATTTTCTTTCAAAAAGTCGGATGAAGTCTATGCTTCAATAACATACAGGGACCCATAAATGAGGTAATCAAGTAGATAGCCTCTGAATAATGTGTTTCAAGCCATTCTACGCATATATATTGTTACCTCTATGGGGCATATGGCCAGAAAATTATGTATGATAGGGCAACAGAACTTGGTTGCCACCATTGTGATTCTCACTTCTATGAAGAATCAGCAGTTCTTGTATGTTAGAGCATGCTCAAGCAAACCGAATTGTAAAATGTTATGCTTAGAGAAGTTCTTTTTTTTTTTCAATGACACACACACCCATAATTAGGCAGTAAAGTAGATAGCCTCCGCATAATTTGATCCATGCCATTTTATGCTTATATATTGATACCCCTTCGGGAAATAAAGTAGGAAGATTGTTTATGGTAGGGCAACAGAACTTTTTTGCCACCATTCTTATTGACACTTCAGCTATTCTTGTTATGCTTAGAGAATCTTCTCTTTTCAATTACACACACACACATAAATGAGGCAGTCAAGTAGATTGCCTTTGAACAATTTGTTCCATGCCAAGCTATGCTTATATACTGATACCACTCCGGGGCATATACTAACAAAATTGTGAATGATAGGGCAACAGAACTTGGTTGCCACCATTCTTATCCCCACTGCTATGAAACATTGGTAGTTGATGTCATGCTTAACCATGCTCATGCAAATTGAATTGCAAAATGTTATGCTTTGAGAAGTTATTCTAACAGCAATGGTGGCAATAAAATAGATATTCTGAATAATTTGTTCCATGACAAAGTATGCTTAGATCCTCATACTTCATTGGGGCATGTATTATGAAAGGGCAACAGAACTTCATTGCCTTCATTGTGATTCTTACTCACATGAAACATCTGTACTTCTTCTCTAATTTATTCACACGCACGCACCCATTTGTGAGGCAGTAAAACAGATAGCCTCTGAATAATTTTTAGTGCATATTTTCATTTATAGGTTTAAAGTACCAATGTGCTATGTAAATATGTCAGTTTAGGTGTGAGATATGTAAATACAAGTGCCGGTTCCCAAGTCCTGGGTGCAAAAAATGAAGGTTTGCATTAACTAATCAACAACCACATAAATATTTTGTAAAAAAACTATAGCATGAATCTTTTAAATCATTGTGTCAATGTTGGGGGTGTCCCCTGGAAGTGATAGCGAATTAATAGCATCATTGGAGAACAGTTTAAGAGGAGACATTCATTGCCTTCACATTAAAGACAATATCATTATTAGTTTACTTCTAATTTCATTAGTTTTTTTTTTCTTTTTCTTAGTACTTTTGATATTCACTGCTAAGTGAGTGGTGTATTTGTACTTCTGTTATGTTTTGAAACAAATTTCTACTTCTGAAATAACAAATATGTCATTGTCATAGTTCTGTTTTAAACAACTTCACTAAACAGGGACCGAATGGTCAATTTTTCAGAAACAGTTGTTCCACAGTTATTTTCACTCAGCTGCAACAAACAAGCAGCCGGCTTCGCCGCAGCAACTTACCCGCAGTAGCTTTCTGGGGCAGCGCAGCTACAGCTACGCCAAACAGAGACTTAAGCATAGATATGAGTGCATAGATTGTAGGAAACCCATCTCACGTCCATTGCATTCCCTGTGATATCCAGAAAAATAGGATCTCACTGCACCATGGCATTGCTTGAAGCAGCGCCATGACACCAACCTTTTTGCAATCATAATGTCTTGACGTTGAATGATGCAACGTTATGGAACCATCTTCTACTTTGGCTCTTTCAATCTAACCAAGCCCACATGTGGCAGTGGGTTTAAGTTCGTGTTTTTTTTTGCCAACAACTTAGAGAAACACCCAGCAACTTAGAGAAACCACTCCCGGTTATCAGATTTACTTGTTGGAGTCCAATAGTCTCGATTTGGTCAGACGTCTCTTGGATTTGCAACCATTGCACTCGGTATGA